ATATGCATGGTGGCACGGACCGTTCCAAGCCACCAACTGGACACGAAGAAGGCCATTCCATTTTTGTTCAGCAAGAACCCACAAGGAGAAATGCACAGCCAAGACGTAAGCCAAGACTTTGGTTACTGCTAGAAGAAATGCACAGCCAAGGCTCGGTGGGTCTTCCCAGAGGAACTTCTAGGAAACTGCGAGCTTGACATTTCTAGGATCTTGTTGGTATGCTTTCGGATGTACTACTCCACTAATCAATTATCTATCCCCATATGCCTTGGGCAAGATTACAAAGCGATGCTGCAGCTTTGGATGAGATCTATGTTTACCATCTTGTGCCGTCAAGCATGCATCCATGCATAGGACTCTTTTTTGTACAGCCAAGCATGCATACCTGTCATTACGGCTTTGTAGCCAGGCAAGGACGAGCGAGTGAAGAGTACCCCCTCCGTCTATCTATACTACTATTAAACAATCAAACAAGAACTTCTTTAAGCACACCCCACAAAGCGTACACAGATCCAATACCACCTCACGATTAGGCCCACTAAAATCAATCTAACGATTAGCCTTAACCTAAACCATTTTCTGTATGCACTTAGCAATTTATATTGACTGACCGTACTCCACCGTGGAGGAAAAAATATGAAACTCCACGCCTAAGCAATTAGGAAACTAATAATCACGGGTGCATCCTATTCTAGGAAACTAAATCAGAGTGCATCCATCCTATTAGGAAACTAATCTCAGACAAATCCATCCTATTAAAAAACTTATCTCGGACGCATCCATCCTATTAGGAAGCTAATCGCGAGCCGCGAGCCGCCATCATGCACGCAAGCCACGATGGGGGAAGCGCGAGGAGCTTCGTCTTTCTCCGGGAACACACGTGCTATCGCCGCCATCGTCTTTTGTTTCGAGGCCATACGCTCTTCTGCCACTACAGCGACGACTCCATCCACGTTCAGGGCATGCTCTCCGGCAACCATCAGCATCCGCGTTGACTTCAGCTCCGTTCGCAGCACCCATGCCGACAAAGTGTCTGTTCAGTGGGTGCACGTGCATTACATATTAAATAAGAATCGTGGGGCTTTAAGCAATCTATAATTATAAATTTGGGATTATCTTAGGTTGCCGATTGCTGTACTGAAAATGTGTAATTATATATGGCACGTACATAAGAATGCAGCAATCTTGTCTTACAACGTAGGATCAAGAGGGATACTCAAGATGCAGAGTCTATTTCCCATGATTACTTCTCATGTTCATGTCGGCTTCCTTGGGCTTTACTTCGTACCACCATATGCATTAAACTGCACCGTATCAAGAGGTAACGCCATTCTCTTGATTAGAATTGCCTTATTTGTGCTATTTGATCAGTGTGTGTTTTACGTACGACATTGCTTTACCTGGAATTAAGGTGGATTCCACCTGCCTAGGCACTATCTCCAGGGATACGTTGGAATCCAGAATATATGATTCATTCTTAGAGAAAACTTTACACGCGTCATTTTAACATAATTGCACAGCAATCCAGTAAATTATGTAAGATTCAGTAGGAGGCAAGATATTGAAGATGTACTACTATTTCAGTTACATGATTCTATACATCTAAAACGGGTCACATGACTCCGTAACTGTTGTTAGAGAATATCTCTCGCTGTTCTGTAAAGGTATGCAATCTCTACTGCGTTCCAATAAAAAAAATTACCATACAGAAGGATCCAATGAAGAAACTAATCCGGCTGAATTCCAATAAATAGATCCTTCAAAGAATCTGTCCTAATACAACTGCCGTATATTGGTACAGAGAAATCATATAAACCGTACTCAGTCGGATTTTTTTTGTTTCATGACAGAGAAACCAAATAACTTTTGCTATTTTGGCACATATATTTATTCTTATATACTTGTGCAGTTTTGAATGATCCAACATATCTGCAGTCATCAAACTTGAAGACATGCTGTTTAAGGCCTTATTTGCACCGCCTCTCTTTCTTTATCTGTGCGCCTCTTTCCTCCAATAATAATAATGAACAACTTTTTTCGGATCAGGTATTACACTGTTACAAATGTATGCTGAAGCTACTCCTTACGACAAGGAAAAAGAGAATGAATGCTTTCTATCTTCACCAGTTTTGTAGCATGTTCCAAATTGTTGGCTCTTTTTTATTTGAGAATTCATCATTTTTTTTGTAATTTAGAAGCTGACCTGAAAGCTTGATAAGGTTAAGCTTGACAAATACTCTAGAATACTTTTCCTTCCATCTTTATTTTTCTTCATAACTTATTTCAGTTTCTATACGTACAAAGCGTCTTACATCATTGTAAGTTGGTATGGTTGCCAACGCATAAACACATACAAAACCGAATAAATTTTTTCTATCATGATAATTATTGGATTTCTTCTAGCCCTTTTACATTTCAATTAGTTCTTGTAAATCATCTTTATTTCATATAGAATTCGTTGTAGTCACATATCATCTTCTATTTCCTATTATCTATAGTAGGTAGCTATATAATTTTGGCAGTCCACACAACCAAAAAATATATATAATTTGATCCAAATTAGTACAAATATATATTTTGCTATGCAGATTAGTAGAATAAAATAAGATTCGAGAATTAAGCATCTTGAACAATATAATTGCACCGTAAGGCAGTTTATACTTTTTTTTCCTGGCTACACTCGAAGAGAAGACTATACTACATGCCTATATTGCTGCATTAATAAATAATTGCTGATTTTATTTAAATGAGAATAATTTTCCGCTATTACTCTATGCAGCAACATAACCACTATTGTGTCTCGCTTTTGAAAATACAATTCGAGCAACATCAAACATTTTGTATCCATTTGATTTATATTTTTAAAAATATTTATTTTTTTATATTATGTGAATTCACCTGTTTTACGTTTGAGACGTGTGTTGCACGTGCATGCTTACTAGTGAAAACAAGTCTCGTAAATTTTGTCTTGAGGCATTGCTTGATCAAGTTTTTTAGGAAAATTCATCAATAATTATACATTACTAAATCGATACAATAAGAAAATACAGGTATGGTAATTCTTGATAGCTTTTCCTACAACTTGGTCAAACTGTACCCGCTTGATTTTAGATAAATTTATAAACATTCTTTTCAGAGACGGGGGAGTACAGAACAGTCTTTCATATAGTCCCCCCACCCCCCCCCCCTCCCTTTCATATTTACTTCGTGTATTAGTTTTGTCCTAAGGCAAACTTTACAAGTTTGACTAAGTTTATAGAAAAAATATCAACATTATCAATACCAAAAAAATATCACATTGGATTCAATAGTTTCATACCGTATTTATTTGATACATTTTAATATAAATTTGGTCAAAGTTTATAAATTTTGACTTGAGACAAATTTAATATGGGGAGTAAAAAGAAACGGAGGGACTAAACGTTACTGCATACTAAGTACTATTTAAAAACCTTTGTGTTGTGTTTTCTTTTCTCCCTTCGGAAGGAGCTACCACAAAATGATTTATGTTGGCACTCGAGTGATTTTTAATTCATGAAAATGACAATTCTCCGGTTGGCAGTCATGAATTATGTATGATTACATCTTGAATTTATGTACTTTAGTCCTTGGGTGTAAGTGCAACATGAATTTATGTAGTCATGCTGCTCTTGAGCATGTGGGACGTCGTGGGCCGAATAAGTTAATGCGCAACTCATCATCTTGACATTTTGAACCTAGGGACCATACTGGCAATAATAGACAAAAGGACTAAAATAACAAACAACTTACCGCCCCATGAAGAAAAAGAGGAAGTAAAAAAAAGACGTTAGGCCAAGAAGTTATGCATGCATATGACCGTCTCAGCATGAGTATTTGACAAAAAAAACTACTACCTCTGTTCCTAAATATAAGTCTTTCTGGAAATTCCACTACTAACTACATACGAAGTAAAATGAGTGAATCTACACTCTAAAACATGTCTATATACATCCGTAAATAGTCAATAGTGGAATCACTAGAAAGACTTATATATGGGAACAAAGGGAGTACCACATTAGGGGTTGCCGTCCCACTGAGCTCCCACATTCAAAAAAATGACTGATAACTACCAAAATTTTCTAATTTTGTGCCTAAAAACTACCACTTTTGAAAAATGGTCACTTTAGACGATTTAAACACGTTTATGACATGCGGAACCCACCCGCCAGGGCTGACATGACGGCAAAGTCAACTCTGTTTATTTTTACCGATATGTTGACCGTTATTACAAGTGGGGCCCACCTGTCAGCATCACTCGTCTTCTTCATAAACGTGTTTAAATCGTCTAAACTGGCCATTTTTCAGAAAATGGTAGTTTTTAGTCATAAAATTAGAAATTTTTGGTAGTTATCAGTCACTTTTTTGAATGTGATAGTTCAGTGAGACGGCAACCCCTAACGTGGTAATTTTTTGTCAAATACTTGCCTCAGCACATACACCGCTACCAAACAACAACAAATGTATGTACTCAGCATGTCAACAAATAAAAGCGTAATTCATAAAATTTCAACTATTTAACGTTGGCATCTGTGCAGGTTAAATCTGGCCGGCCGTTGGTCTGATCCAACGGCCGGTCCGCCCTCCGTTTCAAACCACCCTAACGGCTCGCGGCCGCACCCCCGTTCTGTTCTTCCTTGCGCCACGGTGACAAGTGGGGCCGTCCCGTCCTGCCCCTGACCTGCCAGTCATCGCGACAGCCGCAAAATTTGCTACCCCCACACACCCGAGTACCCGAGGACAAGCGCCATCCCACAAGCCAGTCAAGCGCGGCGCCTTCCACGAAGCTTCGCTCCCACAGCTACGGGTCCCCCGATAAATACGCTCGCACGAACGCGCGCACTCTGCTGCTGTCACTGAACAACAACAACAACACACAGTTGGGGCGCACGCGAAAACCGAGGTGAGGCGATCGGAGGGCACAATCTTCTGCCGGGCCGGCGGCTCGGTGTCGTCTCTCCTGCGACCGACCGCGGCACGGAATGGCGTCGCCGCCGCCGCCGGAGGTCGCCGTGCCGGTTGACGAGGAGGACCGGGAGGCGGAGGGAGAGGATATCTGCGCGTTCGATATACCCGGCAAGAACGCCCCGCGCGATCGCCTGCGGCGGTGGAGGGTACGTATGCCATCTTCACCATTAATGTCGTTCGTCACCACTGCATCAAGCAGCTCTCAGCTTCTGATGGATGAATGCCTGATAATGGTGGAGGGTTGGATTAATCGATTTTTTTTAAAAGTACTCCCTCCGTCCCATAATATAAGAATGTTTTTCAAGAGCTTGAAAAACATTCTTATATTATGGGACGGAGGGAGTAGTTGAATTTACGAGCAATGACTTAATGTGCTGAGAAACTCTGTGGGTGAATGTTTGTTGGTTCATGTGCACCAGGATGTTGCATCAGCTACTTCATACATCTCTGTCGTGTCTGCATATTCTGCCCCCTATATTCCTAAATTGGACTGTCCAGTGTAATTGTTGCAGTTCAGTTTCGATATCTTATAAAATCTGCCTCAGAGTTATAATGCTGTTAAGCCACACCATTGATCATTGTGAAGCATACTGCCAGACTTGTACTATAAAGTAGTAGAAGGATGCTATTCCCCAATCTAGATACATCAGAATCTGGAAAGTTTGTTAGGCTATATTTTTCTTTAGATAGTACGTACTGGAATAAATTTCAAACTGTAGGGGCTTTGATGTTCCATATCACCATCACCAATGGAAATTCTCAAGAAAAACATTAAGTGTGATGTACAGGAATGTGGTATTTTTTGCTTCATGTTTCATCTTATATTATTACTTACAGCATGCCTTTTCTCCCTTCATTTCAGCAAATTGCTCTTGTGCTCAACGCTTCACGCCGTTTTAGATATACTCTAGATCTCGCGAGGGATGAAGAGAGAGAAAACTTGAGAAGAGTTATACGAGCTCATGCACAAGTTATACGGGTAAGTGATGTGGCGTCTGCCAGTTGACACATGATGCTTCTCATTGACGTATAACGTTTGCTCATTCTATATTTGGATTCTTCAGGCAGTATTCCTTTTCAAAAAGGCTGGTCAAAAGGTGCTGCAAGGTACATTCTCCAGTTTCCCACGAGTCGCTAAATGGTTGGATGATCCCACACATTTCCTAACAAAATGTTGATGCGTCGCCATGAAGGAACATATTTACATGTAAACACTGTTACTATGTTGGACACAGCCACACAATTCTTTGATCCATTTAATGGCCATTGTTATGTGATGATAATTTTCCACATTTGAACTGAAAATATGCTATGGTCACCCATCTTAGCAACCTTCAGCTTCCTTCTTCTTCCACCTATTTCTTATTATTTGGCCACCTATACAGTACTATTTGTTTTTGTGCAGTGTCTGTGCTTAGTCAAGACACGTGATACCTTATAACATCTCACTTCATTAAAGCTTAAGCCAGTTATTCATGTTAGATGGATCTTTATCTTGTTTTTAGTTTGATATTGTCTAAATTATAGTTGATATAGTTCTGTTTGATCAAACAGAATCTTACAATGGTGCAAAATTTGAGTCACTCTCTCAGACATTTCCAATTGATCTGGAAAAGCTTGTAATGTTGAACAGAGACCATGATGCAATTATGCTTCAGGAGGTTGGAGGGGTAGGTTCAAATGAATTTCACCTGGATTGGCACCCTTTTTTACTTCTTACTGATATATGTCCAATGGCATGTCCTCGTAGGTCAGTGGGCTTTCAGATTTACTAAAGAGTAATTTAGACAGAGGAGTTAGCTCAAATGAGGACGAGCTGTTGCAGAGAAGAGACATTTTCGGGGCAAACACCTATCCGCGCAAGAAAAGAAAAAGCATATGGGTACGCAGTTCCTTACGCTATGGCAGTAACTTTTTCCGGTGTGCCTTGTCTTATACCGAAAAAGGGTTTCCCCCCGCTTTATAAATAAAGCACCAACACTTACATCCAAGTAACCGATACAAACGCACGCCACACAACCCAAGGCAAGAAACAAAAATGCCGGGCACCGACACACAACTTCAACGACTACCACAAGAAGAGAGATCGTCCGGGAAGAAGTGCAACGGACCACGCCGGACCGAGGGTTCCAAGACGATGCCTCCAAGAAGGGCACGACCACGGACCGTCGCCATCGTCCGATCCAAAGATCAGGTTTTCACCCGGAACACGACGGGAGGAGTGAGAGCACCACGACGGAGCCTACAGGGAGGAACACGACATCCGCGGACGCCGCCACCGTCGACCCGTGTACGGACAGGTAAGTGATGAACCCCGGTGCTCCACTCTTCCGCTGCATCCCCGGTCGGCTAACCACCTGCAACCATGCCACCCAAGCGGCCGTGGTTGCACACCCGCATCCGAGTCACGCAGTCCGCCTACGACCGACGCGACTCCCACCGCCAGGGCCGCCACCCCGCCACCGGACCACCTCGAGAAGCCCCAAAGGTCACGTCTTGGACAAGATCCATGAGCCCAACCACCTCAGAACCGCCGGCGACCACAGCCTCAAGGGGAACCGAGCCCAGATGGCCGGGGGAAGGGGGAGGAGGAGGAGCCCCCGAGGCCGAATGCCCAGATCTGCAAGAGAGCGCCGGCCACCGCCCGCTGCCGAGGAGGAGGGCGCACGGAACCGCCGAGCTGCATCCATGAGAGGCCACCGGGGAGGCCTTCCCGCGCCGAGCGCCGCCGTCCAGCCACAGGGGCCCGGCTGGACAAGGGCCGCCCACCTCCACCGCTGCCGCGCCGCCCCGCCACCTGAGATCCACGGCGAGAAGGGCCGCCCGCGACCCGGTCGCCCGTGACCCGCAGTGCCAGACGAGGCGCCGAGGCGCTGCTGCGAAGCAGCCGCCGCCGCCACCACCCGCCGGCCTGCACCACCACC